CCACCAGTATCTTAAACCTGATAAACTAACAAAACCAGCAGCCATGAGACCATGTTACTTGTACAGTATGCATTTAAGTGGTAGCCACATACATAAAGTATAATTATGACATTAGAATTTAACTAAGCTGTCTTGTTTAAGGCCTTTTGTTTTGAAACCATAGTGTAGTTTTAAAAAGGACCAAAATAAGGCAAACTCTTACTCAGATGTTTTTGGATGACCACTGTCCATCCAGAAGGTCATGATTTGCAATCCCCTTATCTACCAATGGTCTTCAGAGGCAATATCATCACAGGATCACCTTCCTAAAATATTTAGAAGGGTTGCTGGTTGTTGTCTGTGCCTCTCTTTGGTTGTTTGCATGACCCTGATGTGCAGCCAGGCTTACTGCTTCTCAGCTTACTGTTAAAGTGATGGTTCATAGTGGAGACTATGATCCACTGAGAGCACAGAGGGCAGCTCACCTCAGGGCTTCCTGGGCATTAACTGGTTCTTATCTGACCTAGCTTTCCATGTTAGGATCTGAATGCGTCTGGTCCTCTGCCAGCCCTGGGTCGCCATGGCCTGCCTGCTCACGTAGGAGCTATTCAACACTGTTGGATCCCCTGAGGCGTGAGATGAGATTTGATTCCTCATTCATGCTATAGGATCCACAGTGGTGGAGTCTACGTAACCCCAGTTAATACTATTGGCATATTTAGCCATGATTATGTAAATATTTTGTGGCTACTGTAAAATATTATTGAAATCTGTCAAGGTAGTATGAGGAGCAATACTTCAGAGCATTTCTCAGGTCACCTGTATGAATGTAGCCTCTGACACAGGGTAATTGAAAACATGTCTCACAATTATGTTACGCTTTATTTTGTCCCCTTTGTTCATTATGTGCATTTATTTAGTCCATATCTTTGCTTTGTTAATACAAATGAAACAGAACATCAGAACAATAAGCAGTTTCCTCTGCAATCAGCTGAGACATTTAGAAACTACTATCTGAAGGAGAGCTTGACATAATTATTCTTTACAGGCTTTTAGAAGCAGGAACCTATTTCCTGTTCAGCAACTCACGATTCTGTAGATGCTAATTAGAACTAACGTCATTAATGTATTTTCTTATATCTGGTCTGTTCTGTTTTTGATTTATTTTTGCACGTTCCTACAGTATTGATTGCAGTGCTTATTGCAGTCCACTGCTGGAACTTGGTAACGTAAAAAGCTAAAGAGCCTTTTTCAGAAAGAGACTTTTCCAGCTTCGATGTGCCGTTCATCAGTCCATCTTATTTAAAGCAACACTTACTTGTTCCAGCCTCTCAAATGGTACTTCTCCTTTGAGTTGTTGGAAATTATAACTGTCAGTTTAACGATTTTGACATTTTATAGACAAAATGATTCCTCAAGAAAGTAATCTTCAGATTAAATGATACCAAAATTAAACATTAGTTGCAGCCCTAATGTTAATAATCACCTTCAAATGGCTTTACTTTCACCTTGTTGTTAAATACATCATCATGGTTTGCTCAGTAGCTTGTTGCCTTACTTTTTCTGTTTGTGACAGGCTGCTCTACTGTAACTCTAGCCCACAATGTACCTTGTAAAAACTGTTATAAGATTTCATGCATGTGGAATTTCTTTTCATTATAACCTTTGTACCTCCAGATATTTAAAAAACAGCAAATTATTATTGTTATTAAGCCCCATTTGAACCTGTCTGTCTGTCACTGCTAGCAGCAATGTGCTGTGCCTGGCAGCACAGTGGGTGAGAGGCATTTGATAACAAGAGACTTTTCCTGCTATGGTAACTGTGGTTTAGGAAGTGGAACAGGCTAATCCCTTAAACTTAATTAGCATAGTTTGGTAATTAGAGTCTTCTCAGTTTAATCTGGAAGCTACTTGCCAGTGTTGGCCTTTCATCTTAGTGAGCACCCATAGCTATTCAACTACCACCAGCTATGCTTTGTTCAGAAGTATTGGAACAATTTAGTAGCCTGGCTCCTGACCTCTAAGTTACCACTCACATCTCCAGTTTACTCAGTGACTCCTTTAAGTTAATAAAATCTGACAGTATAACAATTTAGTCGGAATATTTGGCTAGTATATGAGGCGTTCCTTTAATTTCTTTCAGGCAAATCTAAACATATTCAGTATATCCTTTCTGCTCTAATCTGCCATATAGTTCAACAAAGAAATATAGTTGGCTGCAGTTCAAACCTTTTTCAGAGCTTTATATGCTCACGATAATATCAGCCTTCTCTCAAGCCAGTTCATGTTTAGTCTCCAAAAAGATGAGGCCTCTGTCAAATATGCTAAATGCTGTCATATTGTGGAAGTAATATACTGGTTAAGGGTCATTTGTCATTACCTGGAGATTCTGGTTATTGCAGAGTATATCAGACATTAACTAATACTTTGGCAGTATTGGGAATATTTTGGCATAGTAGCAACAGTGGTGACACATTGTCCATTGTTGTATACAATCTATGATTTCAGCTAAAGGATAAACAATTTAAATTCTGGTGGGTGATTTTGTTTCTGAGTTGTGTTTTCTGTCCACAAAGGTGCTGCCAAGAGTTCAGGTCTCTGTTTGTCTTGTTGTTTTTTCTTTTTTTTCCTGTCTGTCCAAAAACATGGTACTGTATCTGTTCTGTCCAATAGAAAGCTCTGATTTGGCCTGTACCCATACTGTCAGCTCTGGCAGTGTAATTTCTCCTGACAAGCTGATGGTTAGTGTTCATCCAGTCGGCCCAGTCAGTGTAATTTGTGTGGAGATTGTCTGTTCCCATGTTGTGATTCTGTCTGATTTGTCTGACTGTGTCATTTTGGTCACTCTAAAGGTCTTTGCACTGAATGGGTGCAGTGCGTGTAAATGGAGCAAGCGGGGGGAGCGCAGAGCAACTTTTTTAAAAAGGAAAGAGCGTCGCTCTACTGTAATGTCCTGCTCCGATACCGCTCACACCATGTGCCTGAAGCATGCCCAAGTCTGACCCAGAATGCATCTGTGTCTTGCACTGTCATCCAACATTTTTCAGTCAAAAACTGGCCGTTGCAAGTTCAATAATGGAGTTAATAAAGTACTTTAAAAAAGGAAACTGAAAGGTCATACAGGCGTACTGTATATTTTTATTTAATTAGGCCCATTCATTCATAGAATTTTACATATGACTTTGTGTTTTATTCCTTGGCACACAGGTGTAACTGTAATTTGAAATAAATCATTTCTATTTGGAAAAAAGTAATCTTTCTTTAGTTTTTTGGGATGTAAGGCTACAGTTTAAGCTAAAAATGACAAATGCAGATTTTCTTTCCCCCTTTTTGGAGTGAGTGGGTGCAATTTGAGTTGAGCGCTGAGCGATAATGAGCGGAGTGGCCTGGTGCGGCTTTGAGCAGGGGAGCAGCTCCGTGAGCAAGGAGTGGAAATTCCCACCTCTCCACTCTGCTCATATGCTCTGAACAGGTGTGACACTAGGTTGATTTCCCAGTCCTGTCTTTCTCTTTTTCCAAATTGGTGCTTATTTCTTATCCATAACAGGTTCACCTACTTTGTTATGATCTGTTCTGTAGTCCATGTCCATGATGTCTCCTGCACAGCGGTTTTTTGATGTTCGCATCCTAATGTTGCCCTCACACTCTCTTTTGGATTTTTACTTACACAATGTAAATGAGGCTAATGCATGGCTAGTGTGCTTCTACTAATCTTGCATTTTATTTCCTCTACATAGTAGAGGGGAAGTGCCTGATATGCAAGAAGGATGTGATTTATATTTGGACTTAACTTAATTATTTTAAGAATTTCTAATTGTACATTTTAACAAAACTGCATCACAGAGGGTGTGTTCTGATTAAGTTTAACAAAGGTCTTGTAGTTCAATATTGGATGACGCAGTTTCTCTTTTGCCTGGCTTTGATATGGTTGGGAATAAGAGGCTCACCTGTAGTTATGTAATAATAAACTGTAATAATAGTGGACTGGAAGTGTCTGCTTAGCTCACGAGCGGAAAGCTATATACAGATGGATGGATGAGTGGATGTACTTGCATAGAAGTTGCATAGAAGTTGGAATAGTGTGAGGTTTCCTAGACCTCTGTTATTCTGACTCTTTGCTTTAAAGCATAACAACGCCTCTGGTTCATTGGCAGACAATGATTAGGATGTTGATCCGTCTGCTGGCAGTTAGCGATGCTTGTTTAACTCCCTCCCTCCCTCCTTTCCTTCTCTGAAGTTCACTGTTGTTTTTATTACAATCACTATGTTAGTCTTCTCTGCAACTGCTCTTCATTGCTGATGGTTGGCCTATTCAGGCTTGCTTACGTTTGCCTCTTTCAGTTCATTACGCCAGGACATACTGTATAGGCAGCAACATAAAAAGTCAACAGCAGAACAAATCCAAACATAAATGTCGTCACTGTTGAATGTTGTCTGTGAAGCAAACCTTCAGGGACTTGCTTCATACAGTAAGAGTGCTGTCTACATAATATTTTACAAGGAGAAGTGCTTAAAACTCTGATGGCACAAAGCAATAGGCAGAAAAAAGACAGTGGACAGCTGTTACTTAACGGAAACTGTCACACGTACAGCTAAGGCAGCAATTGATAAAATATTTGAAATAGCTGGAACTTTACTCAAGTATTATCACCATTAGTCAAATGAAAATAATGTTTAAAATGTACACATTACAGTTGTTTTTAAAATAACATTGAAGAGTAGAATCTTTTTGAGAGTTTGTAATATTAGCAGGGTGAGAGATGTGAGGGAGGGAAGACGAAAGAAAGCATGAAATAGCCAGGTAAGCAGACAGAAAGCTGATCATACAGCCGCAGGTTGCCACATTTGCCACAACTGATGTTTTATATATAAATAAATATACAGAATGAAGGAACTTTATAATATCACATACTCTTGGAGGGCAGCTATTTTTGGGTGTAGTATTTATTTTTTGGCCTAGTTTATATGCAATCTCATTTTTAACCTGTCATTAACATCTCTCTTTATTTCTTCTTTTCCAGTCCTATGTGCAAAGAACCTGGCAAAGAAAGACTTCTTCCGTAAGTAAAGCCTTTTTTATGTGCTGCTATTTCTGTCCCGTTCCCCCCCTTGTGCATTAGAATGGGCTTTGTCAGCAGTGGCAGTTTGCTGGCTTTTGAAGCCACGCTGTAAATGAAGGCCCTTAGGAGCTGTCTGTCATACAAGCCGGGAGGCCTTGCACGCACAGGAACCCATGGCTAATCTAACATCCAGTGGTACTAGACCTCATCAAACAGGCTTGAACAGAAATTGCACTTTATTTAGTCCAGCCCAAGGCCAAATCTGAATGGCATGAGAATAAAAGCAGACTTCATTGTGTAGACATTTTCTCCTCTGATTTTTTTCATTTTGTTGTTAAAACATCAACTGTCCTGTCAAACTGCAAGTTTTGAATGGCAGAAATATGAGGAGTGCCATATTATAATGGTGTGAGAGTACTCAGAGATGGGATCCAAGAGAGGAAGCATTTTGTTTTCTTTGTGACCTCCAGTTTACTGTCATTTATCTTTAGGTCTTTTCATTACCCATCAGCCATTCTCTGCTGCTGGCATTAATGTAAGAGGAGATGTGTTATTTAGTTCCACCGATGAGAGAGTTTCACAAAAGAATATATATTTTCTGTATTAGTGCACCATTTACCTTAATTACCAGTTGTGGGCATGGTGAGAGCACTTACTGTAATTGCAACAGTAGCAGGTTGTTTAGCTGGTAGGTTAGTTTGCCATTAACCTGGGAGGCATGGATACAGACAATAGCAACTTCATTCTGTGGCACATACACACAAAGGCAACAACAAATAGGGAAATCCCAAGATAGCATAAGGGTGAGTGAAGAGGTCTGACTTGCATGAAGTATCAGTGACACATTTATTACATGCAGTCACACACAGCCTAAAACAGAGATACCAGCAGATGAACACACCAAGAAGAATCCTGTATCAGATTTCCACCCAAATGAGACACACTACCTCTGTTTGCTGTGTAAATGTTTCACAGGACTGGCATAAGAGAAAGATTTGTATTACCACATTTTCTTCCTGACTTGCGATAATTATATTTTTCTAAAAATGAATCAAAAGTAACTGTTGGGATTTGTCTTTTGACTCACCAACCAGCCTGTTCTGAAATGTATTTCCAGAGTCTGGACATGGATATTATTAGTTCCATTGACCCAAACTAGTAATAACTGAAGTGGGAAGGTTACCAAGATCCACAAAACACCTGCTTTGTTAGACCAATGAAACATTTTTTTCGTGACCATTTGTATACCCCTCTCAGGCTGGCACAGCAAAATGTGCATCTACGGTCAATGTCAGTGGGTCATTGCTTTATAACCTTGATCTCAACTTGAGTTGAATTTGGTTCAGGCACTGGTCCACTTTAGTCAAGAAGTGTTTTTGATAGACATGGCAATAAGCATTTAATGTTTGACAGCATGCAGGGATAGTTAAAATATAGTTCTATGGTTGACAGTAAAGTGTATACAAGTTAAGTCTCTGAATGCTGATACCCAGAGATAAATTTGGGATTTCAGTCTATTATAAGTGGGTCAGATTGGCATTGAACAGGTCACACAGTCACACACGTTTCCTCCATGTAGGAGGTGCTGATGACTTCACTAGTTTGTACAGTTGTTAAACAAAACCTCTTCACTTGGCTCTGTGTTCTTTTACAGGGTTGCCAGATCCTTTTGCCAAAGTGGTGGTGGACGGTTCAGGACAGTGCCACTCTACAGATACTGTGAGAAATACGCTGGACCCAAAGTGGAATCAGCATTATGATCTGTAAGTCAGTAGGAAGTATGGAGCACCATGTTGTGTTGTTGTATTCCACTAAGGCCTCATTAAAGGATAAAGCTGGTCATTCTCTATGTTAATAGCAGCAATCTCCATACAGAGACTAAAATGACAATGTATTGTCTCTACTCACAGTTAAAATGTCTGCCAGCTGTCAGTCCTGGATCAGCTTGTTTGTCTGTGTGATAGATCTCTGTTGTTCAAAAACGATTAAACACATCAGGGAAACACACAGCTGCAATGGGTAACATGTTTTTTCATTACGAAACCCCAGGCCCAGCTGTGTTGCCCCAGAGGCTCCAAAAGGCCTGAAGTTAGCACGAGTCAGAATCAACTGTGCATGCGCTCTGCTCTGTTTACCTTCCACTAGTTCCTTATGCACGGGTCTGGGGTTTGCTGATTAACCGTGCATTAATTGTGAGTAGAGGCAATTGTCAGTTTTAGTCTCTGTATGGGAAGTGTTGAAAAAACTGTTAGAAAATGATCGGTCTTATCCTGTAACCAATTGCAGTGAGTGTACGTGTGGTTAAGATAGGTTTGTGCATGAAGCCATGCAGCACCTGAACATTGAAATAGTACAGAAATAATTGTTGTCACAGAAACATGGCATACTGGTTTTGCTCTCCGGCATGTGTGGAGCTGCTATGACAAGTGTTTTAGGAATGCATATTCAATTGTAGAAACACCCATCTAGAAACGTTTTGAATCGTTTTACATGTGAACAGTACATCTTGTAGAGTGAGCTTTTGGACATTCCGTACCACAGGCCTCATGAGACCTATTCATTGGAGATTTTTTTTTAGGGAAAACATGCCGATATGACTTTGTTTTTTCCAAAATAACATTCTGCCTGTGTGGGTATTAGAACATGGGGTTTGCTAAATAGTTTTACACTCCTAAACAATGTCCTCTGTGAGCTGGAGCCGGTCTAACTCATTTTTCTAGCTTGCTTGCTGACTCAGAGCCAAATGTGGCTTTACATAGGTGGACACACATTTACACTGCTACTTTTACTAATCTCTTTCAGGGTGATATGCATATTGTTCCTATGCCTTTGTGAATCCATATCATTTAATTTTTTAAACCTGATCTTTTTTCTATCAAGAAGACCCTCCTTCCACTTTCTGTCAGTCTCATAAATATAAAGGAAAATCAAACTAAACCTATGATTATTGCAGTCTTCAAATAAACCAAAATGCAGGAGAAGAAAAATTCTCACTTTGTTGATTTAAAGCACCATATGGTCATTATATTGTTCACTGACCTCAGAACTCAAAAAGACTAGACTAAGACGAACATTACACTCTATGAGTGCTCCTGTGAAACTATGTACTTCAGTATTTTCACCGAGGCCTTGTGGCGTGACTGTTCCCTGAACTGAGGTCCGTGTCGACAGGCCGTTATAAGGAGTGATCACCCCATAGGACCCAAAGAGCCCACTGGCAACCAAGCTTATGCAGTGGTGAGAGATGGAGGCAAACAGTGGAAGAAGAAGGGATGAAGGGAAAAGAAGACTGATAGACAGCTGGAAATATGTAGTGGAGAGGAAGAAAGCACTATGAAAGGAACAGCGGGAATTACAGCAGAGGGTGAATTGTTCTATAAGGTGAAAATCTGTATGGCAGTAGATATTTGTGTACTGCCACTCTAATCAGATAAATTATAAAACTAGACAGCACTCAGAGAGTGCAGCCACCGCCAAGAGCAACTCAGTTTCCCCATAATGCCATAAAAGCAATATTCCCATGATAGTTTGACTCGTATATGATTGCCTGACCATGAAAACCTACTGCTGGCATTTGGAATGATGCTGATATCATTATTAGTGTGAAGGTTATTCAGTTCTGTTCAGTTTATTTTTAGGCTGTAGTGCCAATTCACAACAACAAGGGCATAGTACGGTCTAGACTTTACAGTATTGTATGGAAAACCCAACAAATCCCCCTTGAGCTCAAGAAAAAATAACAGCTTTGAGCCTGGCTCAAAATTTCTGCCATCAGGCTCTTGCTGCAGGGGGTGACATAATGCTTCATTAGCAAACACCAGACTTAAGCATGAGTAGCTAACAGAATATAAACAAAGCAGAAAGCTTGCTCAAGATCTCCCACATGAGACTCATGATAAATTCAGGAAATTCTTGCCACACTGAAACTTTGGGGTAGCATAGTTGGGCCTGGTGTTAGAAAAAACGTCACCCAGTGCAGCGGAGCATTTCCCTGGTGTGATTTTAATTGTTTTTGAACAAACTAATCCAGGACTGACAGACATTAGCTGTGAGTAGAGGCAATTCAATGTCAGTTTTAGTTTGTGTATGGAGATTGCTGAAAATACTATTAACATAGAGAATGACCAGCTTTATCCTTTAAGAAGTAGTAGTCAGAAAATGAATGGGCAACAACTTTGATCATTGATTAATGGTTTAAGTACATTTTCACACAAAAATTCACGAGTTTCAGCTCATGTTATCTGAGCTATCACAGTAAACTGAATATTTTAGGGTTTTGTGGCTGTTGGTAAGACAAGACATTTGATGATATTTTGAAATCTAGACATTTTTCAGTATCTTCTGATATTTCATAGACTAAATGATAAAATAATAGGTAGATCAGTCATTTGTGAAAATTATTGTTAGCAGTGATAATGATAATAAAAGAGGAGAAGAATATATGCACTTTATTTCTGAATTGTCTTTAAAAATCCATGCAAATGTAACTGTTCTTGTCTTTATTATTTGCCTGTACCTACAGAGACATTTGATTTTTCTGGGGACACACACACCCACACACACACCTGTTTAGCTATATTTCTTCTTGCCTGTCAGCATCAAGCCCTCATCCCCTCTGCTTTTTTACATAATTCTCTTTCCCCTTTTGGATCTCTGCCTTCTGAGGAGTGTGTCCCCCACCAGCGACCCCTGGCCTCTCCTGCTGGTTCAGGAAATGGCTAACATGCCACAGAAAGCAGATGGGAGTGTGGGCTTGGCAGATTGCCTGCTCGCCACACCCCCATCACGTGCCTACAGCTTTTGGAGGTTGGGTCTTTTGTATCACCTTTTTTGACTACAGTTAATGGTTTATATGCTGGTTCATATCGACGTCCTGTGCAGAAAATGTTTAAGGACGCACAAATGAAGTTGGATAATAAAAAAAAAACATTTTGTGAGTGTTGAAGAGTTCATGATCTCAGAGTAGTATGTAGGCTTTCTTTTGGCAGGTTGCCTCCTCATGCTTGGCCTCCAGTTTTCATCCTTTTCAGTACAGCTCCTCATATTGCTTTGGGTGGAAGGTCATATTCGCGCTCTGCTCCCTCTCTGCTTTTGCTCTGTAGTAAATGTGTTGTGCTGTGCTTTATACTCAGTCCCCTTATTAGAACCTGTGTTACCTTACCAGTCTATAAATGTCCTGTTTGATTAAGATTTGGTTCGTCCCCAGCAATAAAATGCTGAACATACTGTAGCAATGGCCCTAGCACTGCTACAGAAACCTTTTTCTATCCCAGCAGTGGTCATGCATAGTAAAATGCATTTGGAGTAGTTGCCAAATTGACTCCCTCAATGTCATTATGTTTACCACAAATAACCACCTAGAGTATGGTTAAGTGAGTAACTCCAGACATTGATGGGTGGTGGTTTAACCTGGGGAAGATTTCTCTTTGCTACATTCAAGAAATACCTTTGCCACATGCGCCTGTATTACACCCACAACCCATTGTACTCTGTTAGGTGATGTTTTTGCATCAGTCCTCACAATTTTCTATTAAGAGAGACAGGAAAGGTCTGTGGAAGCATAGTTACAAAAGTGGAAGAAGAAAAGTAAAATAGGTAATAATAATAATAATTAATAATCTTTATTTGTACTGCACTTTCCAGCTCAAGAGCACAAAGTGCTACAACAATAAAAACATAGTAATACAATATCAGTTAAGAACACTCATAAACAGACAGAAGCCAAATAGATATCCAGCGTCTGATATACAGTGGGTACAGAAAGTATTCAGACCCCTTAAATTTCTCACTCTTTGTTATATTGCAGCCATATGCTAAAATCATTTAAGTTCATTTTTTTCCTCATTAATGTACACAC